TAACATTTTTATCAGGATGTCGCCGATTAGGGTACCTAATTGCATATTCTTGCGTTGTTTGTGTTTGGTTGCCATTACATTGGGCTAACACCCAATACATGTCGCAGGACCACTCAACAACGTAAGAGAGGAAAGTGTGCTGGATTATTTACGTACCTCAGGCCGTGCAAACAACAGAGAGGATACTATTGTTTGAGCGTAGTGCCAAAGCGTCGCTCGTTGCACACTTTTCTGGACACTAGACTTCTACGTCCGACACCTAGATACAAGAAACTACAGAGCGCAACACTTACATTAAAGGAATAGACATTATAAGGAATAAAGGGTACCTTCTGAAATTCACTGACGTTACAGCGAGCGATTGTATCTCACTCAATTACATGCAGATAAACAGGGACACTACGACGATACTCTTAGTGTTATTGGCCTAGTGTAAGCAGGTCTTGCGGGCTGACTCGCGACGTCATCTACGATCCGTTTAAACACACCTGGACACCCTGGACTTCCACATCCAACACTTGGACACAGGAAACTACGTAGAGGAATACCTAAACACCCTGGACCTTTACATGCGACATCTAGATACAGGAAACTACGGAACGGAGTTAGACGTTTTGTTTTGTTGGAGTCGAATCGTGAGTACGCGAGTGCACAGAGTGCCATTGGGCTGTCGATTGAGTTTTCTGGGATTACACGACCAGGGAACACCAGGGTAAGCGAGTTTAACTGACTTTTGTGAGCGACGTAACTTCGTGCGAATCGTATGAAAATATACGTATTCATTAGAATTTGACAAGGAATGCAACGATGTTACTACAGTGCGTTTCATAACAAACACCCTGTATATATACATTGTGACCAGAGACCACGACAGATGTAACCGATCCTCGACGAACATGGGTTAATTATTATAAGTCATAGATTATTAACGAACACGCGGAGGGACAATCCCTCACCTCGAATAAGACCACGGCACGAAGGTCCGTCGACCGGCAGGGTTCACGGTTTAGAATTTTTGTTTTGATCTTATTATCGAATTAGAATTTTGTAACGTCTCCGAATTGTTTTCTTGTCGTCCAACATTGTGACGTGGTGGATTTCACCCATCTTGTCCTCGGCGGAAAATCACGCCGAAACGTGATACGGGCCGTAACGTCTCCGAATTGTTTTCTTGTCGTCCACCCGTCAGGCATATGTAACTTTTGATTTTGTAACGCGAAGAACGCGTACAGGTCCTTGACGGTCGGTTGTCGTATTTTGGTAACGCGGATTAGCCGTGTTACGACTTTGGCTTTGAATTCGTACGGTACGCGAAGTACTCGTTACTAGCTTTTGATTGTACTTTGGTTTTGTCTTTTCGATCTATATTAATTACTATCTCTTTTGTAAATAATTACTTCGGTATTGTGAGAGATCGTCGCGCTTCGCGCCGCCGATTATATTTAATAAACCGAACCTTCCTTGAATAGTAGAGATCGAAGTGTCCGAATGTTTTTATCACGCGGCAGCAACGCGCTCTACTCAGCTGGTACTCAACCACGACGACTCGAAGCGGCGCGTACAGCGCCACCCGACTGAGCACTACTACCGACCCCTATGGCATTAGTTCCGACCTATTGTTCCGAATACCGCCGCCTCCGCATAGCTGAGTTAGCCAACATAGGCACGCGAAGAGGAACCGTAGAGACTGATACGTGGTTCCCGTTTTGGAACCTGGCGCCCAACAATACCTTAGGTATTTCGAGAGTGAAATTTGTTAGCCCCTGGGTTGCCTGGAACGCGTAGGAATCGCGTAAGTTGTGCGCAGGTCGGTCTTGCATTTTCCGGTGAGGTCGATCGCGTAAAAATACGTCACAACATATATAATAATCCCTAATAACTAAGGGATATCATCATTTCATACTATACTGTGCACGACATCTCATACTCTCACACATTTCCAGAAATCACACCAACATTGCGATATTGTCGGTGGATGAGCAGGAAGAGAGAGAGATCGCGGCAAACAAAGAACAAAGCGGCACGTGCAGAAACGCTGAAGAGAACATCTAAAATCGAGACGCTCAAAGAGCATCTTTGTTATGACTCCGCGAATACCGCGCACAGCAGAATTCCTACCCGTCACCAAATACATAAAATTGAGACGCTTAATGAGCATCTTTTGTTATGACACCGCGAATACCGCGCACAGCAGAATTCCCTCCCGTCACCTTCGCACCCATCTCACCACCAAGATAATCCTGACAACGCACTAATCCGAAGAAGAATCCGCGATCGAAGGCCTGTAATATGAATCCTATTGAACGACCGGACACGAACGTCCTGATCACGCCATAACACGTATCCAAATTCCCTGAAATTTCCTGACATTGCATTCAATCCCCTCCAAACCCAGAATCTTCCTTACGAACTCCAATGCAGATTATCCTCAGTTACTAATCAATCCTCCGGTAGAGCAGTATCCCTTTTTGAGTCTTGAGCCGATTGTCCGCGCCAGTTAAGTGTTGTACCGATCAAATACCTTAGCGCCTATTTTGATCTAGCTTGCCTTAGGACCCAAGCGAAAAGTGTATCACTTCAGTGCCGAACGTCCACGCGAAAAGAACTCAATTCTTGGCATTTCAATAAGCATTCGTTTAGGCGAGTGTCCACCTTAGGGTTGGACCAAGAATCTCTCGTTCAACTAAACCTATTTCACTATCGCCGAGAACCGAGCGCCGTCTCTCTCTCTCTCTCTGCTCATCCACCGGTAAGTAACTCACATT